CAACACTCAAAACACTCAACACTCTGCGCTCACTGGGGGTGTGTACAGACACCGGAGGGGCTCCCAAAGCCTAAGCGCTAAGCACAGATAACTCACGTGCCATCATATCAATACCTGGATCTACACGGTCAACTCACGTGCTACACAGACAAATCACACGCTATAATATCAATACCTGAACCCGCACGGTCAATTCACGTGCTACGCGGACAACTCACGCGCTATGGTATTAATATCCTCACAACCAGGCCCTCGGCCTCACTCAATCATGTACCTCACTAGCCTCACCATCATCAACAAATAAGGGAACACAACCCACATCAAGTATCACATCATATTAGCAAATAATAGAGATTGAGGTAAACATGTACAATAAATTCTATGACAGAGTACAAATAATGAGAGCATGAATAAAGCCTAAGCATGATCTCTAACATGAAGGCAAACAGGTTCAACAATAAATAAACACATAACCACAGATAATAGCCATTAGGCCTTACATCCTCACGGGACGGACCAAGTCTCAATCCCTCGCGGTGCACACCCACACGCTCGTCACTTAGCGTGGGTATCACTTCCAAACAATCATATGATGTCAAATCTCCGGGTTTATACTCTCAAAGCCAAAGTTAAAACTGTTACTTACCTTAACAACGTAAAAATCCTACTCCGAGATGCCCTCGTCTCTGGACTCGGTCTCCAAATGCTCCGAATCTATTCACAATTAGTACAACACCATCAATACGCGCTAATGGAATGAATTCCATAAGAAAAGCTACAAAATTAGACCAAAACCCGAAATTGGCTCAAATCTGGCCCCCGAGCCCACATCTCGAAATCCGACAAAATTTACAAAACTAGAAAGCCTATTTACTCACGAGTCTAACCATAATAAATTCATCAAAATCTGACATCGTTTGGTCCTTCAAATCCTTAAATAACTTCTCCAAAAATCCCAAGCCCTAACCCCTCATTTTCACTAATTACAATGACTAAACAACGGAAAATCACCATATATAAAAGTATTAGGGCTCAAGCAACTTACCTCACTCATAGACCTTGAATCACCCTTCATAAATCACTCCCCAAAGCTCTACAAACCAACTTGAAAATGGTGGAAATGAACCAAATTCGCGAAGGGTTCTATTTATGGTTTCTGCCCAGATTTTTCACACTTGCGGGCTCTTTTTCCGCGTATGCGGGACCGCACCTGTGGTCAAGGCGCCGCATCCGCGAACTCCACTTAATTACCCAGCTTCCACATCTGCGCTCCAGGCCTCGCATATGCGGGCTCGCAGGTGCGGCCAAATCCTTTGCGCCTGCGCTCCAGCCTTGGCCTCACATTTTCCCACATCTGTGCAGCAAATTCTCGCGCCTGCGAAAGCGCACCTGCGCTTTTCCTCTGCTTCTGCTAAGCCTGCCCAGCATCTCCCTATTCGTATCTGCGCCCCAGGTTTCGCACCTGCGGGCTCGCAGATGCGACCTCCAACTCGCACATGTGCAACCTGCCTAGCCCAGCATTACCCGCACCTGCGAACTCCCCACGCGCACCAGCGGTCTCGCACCTGCGACTCTTTCTTCCGTAGGTTCGAAAATAGCAGTAGCAACAGCTTTAGCTGCATTTTCCAACTTTGACAAATTCGTTAACCACCCAGAATCACCATGAGGCCTTCGTGACCTCAACCAAGAATACCAATAAGTCATATATCAACATACCAACTTAGTTGAATCTTTGAATCACTCAAAACAACATCAAATCATCAAATTACACTCGGATTTAAGCCTAAGGACTTCTGAATTTCCAAATTCGGCAACCGATGCCGAAACCAACCAAACCATATCCGAATGACTTTAAATTTTTCACACACATCACAAATGACACTATGAACCTACTCCAACTTCCGGAATTCCATTCCGACCCCGACATCAAATTTTCCACTGCCAACCGAAATCGCTAAATTTTTAATTTCGCCAATTCAAGCCTAATTCTACCATGGACCTCCAAATCACATTTCGGACGCACTCCTAAGTTCAAAATTACCTAACGGATCTAACGGAACCATCAGAATTCAAATCCGAGATCATTTACACATAGGTCAATATCCGGTTGACTTTTTCAACTTAAGTTTCTACTTAAGAGAAGTGTCTCAATTCACTCTGAAACCACTCCGGTCCCGAACCAACTAATCCGATATAATATAATATAGCTGAATAACATAAAAAAAAGTAGAAATGGAGAAAACGGAGCTATAAATCTCGAAACGACCGGCCGGGTCGTTACAAAAAAGCTCGGTGCCGCAAAAGAAGCCACATCCAGCCATTATTTGTTCAAATCTTAAGGTACTGTATTCCACAAATTTGAGAATATATTTTAATGGTTAGAGTTAAATAAGGAGATTGGCAAAAGTTAGTGAAACATGAAAGATATGTATAATTTTTGTTAATCTTTAGCAATCTGTTGAGGAATCTTAAGCACTAATTGTGTCTTACGGGTATTACTTGAGCTTCTTCTTCTGGTAGATTTTAATTTCGATTCTCATGATTGGAAGATTCTACAGAGTAATAGAAATTACACTAGTTCATTCACGCAATTGAGAATTTTCTTCCTAAAGAATCAATAAAACTTTATGAATTTGGATTAATAAATTATATGAATAGGTTGGAGTTGATAGATTAGTAATTACTCATATGTGGGTAAATATAATTCGGCGAATTAAGAGTCAAATATGAAACTTCGAGGGTTGGGTATTCTAAATTAGCTATGAATTAGCCTAAACAAGAAAATTAACATAAGATCGATATTATGTAATTATAGATTGATTAGAGGAATTTGTACGAATTGTTCGAGGTGAAGCATTTGGTATTTCGGCACGAGTATTGTGAGTAGTAATCTTACTGCAATTTGTGTTTTCATAACTTGCATGATTTACACATGATTTTTAATATGAATATGTTACCGATTATTTTGAGTTGCATGTGGGACAAGTCTTTTACTCGATATGATACCGAAATAGTTATTCGAGATGATTACCGTTGTTTTAAATATTTCCGTTGTCACTAGATCTGTTTTACCATTACTTGAATTTACTGTTATCGAAATGAAATTATATGATTTGATAAGAATCGAAATGCCCTATATTGTTTTAAAATATTTTCTACGAATATATACGGATTACAAAGATAAGTATAAATGGGAGTAGACATTGAAGGATCCCGTGGCTAACGACGGGTTCGTTAGACCTGGTGCACCTTGTAATTTCCGATTACCGTTGTAGCCCTCGCTAGTGGAAAAGTAAAACTAGCATACTGTTACCGATTTCGCTCAAGTAGGGACTACCGATATATTTGACTTCTTGCGAATAACTCCACAGTTATACCGATTACATGATCCGTTCATTGAAACCTCCCAAAACATGAATATTAATATTACACAGTTTTTACCGAGCTTATTACCGAATTTTCAATTGATTTATATTACATGAAAACCCGATGAGACTGATTACTGTTTATTATTTCTGAAAGGGCATTTTTATGATATTTTCTATTTAATATACTAGCATGTTTTGTGACTTGTCCCCAATAAAAATGGTTGTGGTTAAGTGTTATTATTCACTGAGCTAGCGACTCATTCCCCACTAATTTATTTTTACAGAGACAACAGTTGACGCGGGCGAGGATTTCGTTAATTACAGCGCACATATTGATAGTTTTTGGTGAGCCTCGCACTTGTTTGCGTGAGCGGAGATTTTATTTATTGTTATGGCCTTTTCTTTGAACTCTTAGAGTCGCTCCATAGTCATTCTTTTAGTGTCTTGAGTATTCTTTTGTTATTATAGACTTATGTTGAGTATTACGCATTCTTATCAAAGTTGGAGATAAAATAATATTTCTAGTTGTTTAATGGGTGGACTATTAATGGTAGATATTTGTTTTGGTTAATTGATAAAGTCATTGTCATTTGAATTGATATTAGGATGTTTGGTTGTTGATTTGAGACAGGGAAATTTTTGGGATAGTCTAAATACAGGGGAAACTCTGTCCGATTTTCTGTAAAATACTAATGAGGCTTACTTGGGGGCACTTGCTCCTAAGTGCCGGTCATCATCCTAAATTGGGTCGTGACAAAAGATCTCATTAGAACCCCAGATATAAAGAAAGGAGAAGAAGATTACCCTCAAAAACCAAAGTCTTGAAAACAGGTAATCCAAAGTCGAACTCGAACCAAGAGGTTCAAAATCTCTCTCAAGAGTTTTTTTAAGTCAAAATATGCTCCGCTCCTAATGAAATAACCCTAGGCTACTATAAATACCCAATGGGTAAAATAGAAAAAGTTTCAAAGTTAATTTTTCAAAAAATCTCGCTAGGCCAAACCGTAGCCCCAACCGTAACCCCAACCGTAACACACATCTGAACCGTGACGAATTTCAGAACCTTATTTTCTTCATCTCTTCAGGCCCCTCTTGAGCCGTAGCCAACGGTTGGTGAAACCGTGTCACACAGTTTGAATTGGGGTCTTGATTTTTCAATTCTCAAGACTCTAAACATGGTATTCTTTGCATGAATCCTCCAAGTAACTCTCCAAACAACTCCTAGTCAATTGTTGAAGATCATACAACTCCTTAGCATGTATCCCTTAGACGTTCTTGGACTTGGAGCAGGTCAACGGTCACCAAATAATTTAGGGCCATTCTCAATATTCTCCATTTTGCCCGGACTATCCAAGATCATATATATATATATATATATATATATATATAATAAAATGATTTAACATGAATTGATCAGTTTTGCACTTGTTGTCCGCCTACCATAATCTGTTGTCCGCCTACCATAACCCTCCTCATCTATTTGAGCTTGGGATAGTAAATGTGAGCAATCTCGCATAAAATAAGCTTATTTGTAATTGAGGCATCGTTATTATTGTATAGCTATATAATAAAAGGAGCTTTGTCAAGTTGAAACATTAATTGGAAATGAACATATGCTTACACTTTTTCGTCTACGAGAATTCAAAAATATATATATACATGTGTTTTTCAACATTAGCCAACCCTAGCTCTATCTACATATCATCGGTTTACTTTTGGGGATCGAGGCCATAGGGAGAAGATTATTGAAGAAAATGCAGTAAGTTGCAAAAGAATTGCTGCAAAAATAGCTGAAAATGCTCCAATACTTATGTTCATGGCTCAAAATACCTAAAAATGTACGATTTAGGGACATCCGAACTGGGATGATAAAAAGTGAATGGCCTAAAATTTCAGTTAAATATATTGAATTTGCTCTCAACTTCGAAGAGATGATGCAGTTTTGGCCAACTCCCGAAGTGGTTTATCTGTGGATCGAATCAAATTGTATACAAATGCTCCGGCTAGTGTTCCGATGATTGGACCAACTATATACACCCAAAGACCTGTATAAACATGCTTCACTATTGCTGGACCAATGCTTCTTGCTGGATTCATTGATGCTCCTGAAATTGGCCTGCATTTTCAACTTGATTTGATTACATTTTAGACAAAGAAATTGAAGGTTAACAAATTTACTAAGTGAAACAATTAGTATACCCTGCTACAAAGACATTCAAAGTTATGGTCATTCCCACAGCTATTCCAGCAACCTGTCCAATCTGCAAGAGTAACAAAAGGTAAAAAAATAATAAAAAAAAAATAAATCAATTTTTTTTCAGAAAGAAAAGATATATAATTAATTTATGAATTGTAAATTAAAAAAAAGTAGAAACTTACTGCTCTATCATCTGTAGCAACGCCAGAAATGACAAACATGAGAAGGAAAGAAATGATGATTTCGATAGCAAGTGATTGGCCATTAGATTCAACTGGAACAGTACCAAAATAAGCTTGAGGAGTTACGTCAAACAATAGAGCCAGAGTTCCACTGGCCAAAATCGAACCCATTAGTTGAGCTATTATGTACAAAGGTACCTGCATCACATATTAGACTTGTATTTTAACATCATTTGTAAAACACATTAGAAATATACACGTTGTATATAACATCATTTGCAACACGTTTTAATTGTTGATTTGATGCTTTTTTTTCGTGTGTGGTTAGGAGAAAATAAAAAATTTCGGTTAGGAGATTTGAAGCTTCAGTTTAACATTTTAAACTTGGGTCCACAAAATCACTCTTTTACACTCGTTGTATCTTTTTCCTTCCTCGATATCTGCTAGCTCTATTATGAACAATTTAAAACAAATAATTATCACAGATGATATATTGTCCTACACTTCTAGGACTTGGTGATGCTGAAAGGTTAAGGATTTTTTAGAAAAATATTTACCCCTGCGTATTTTATCATTAATATATTTGATAGCCTTGAATAATGTGCTGTTTATGGATCTTATTATATTCCGAAAAAATCTCTCCTTTTTGTGAAAGTTACTCATAGTGTAATTTTAATACTAATACTAGCTAGTAGTAAGCTACCAAATTACAATTTTAATTCTTGAAATTTACTAGGATATCTTATATGCACCCAACACCGCAAGAGTTGACTGAGTTGGTTGAGTGAGTGGTTTCCCACATGAGAGACTTGTGATCGATTTTTCTCACCAGCAGCCTTCTCAGTCAGAGCTCCTCACACAGGATTTGCCTTGATGCGCGTGATTTACATCTCTTGTGTGGTTTGCGAGCTATTGCACAATGAAAAGGTTATCCACTGCGCACCCAAAGGGTAGCGGTTGCGAGTTTAATTTTTTAATAAAAAAACTTATATGCACTCATAGTATAATGACTTTTACAATACCAATATAGTTTAATATGGTGTAGATGATAATTAAGAGTGTAAGTAACTACTACAGTGTAAAAAAAAAAGTTATGTTGAACGAACTATCCAAAATGCTATCGCACTAATATTAGATCTTTCAAAAAATACACTATTTTTTGAGAATCTGATGCACCTACGATATTTTCGAAAAATTCGAGCAACGTAGAAAAGAAGTACATACTTGTTTCCATGGGAAGCGGCCGAAGATGGTGAAAGTAATAGTGACAGCAGGGTTAAAATGAGCTCCTGATATATGTCCCACGGTGTAAACCATCACCATCACGATTAGACCCCATGTTACACATATCCCTGGAAACGTAACGCTCCCATAGATCTTATTCACAGCAACTGATCCACACCCTGCAAATATTACAAAGTACGTTCCTATAGCCTCCGCTATCAACTGCAAAGTCAAACACAACTCGATCCATCAAATTAAATAATTTTAGGTGTTTTAATTGTACGTAATTAAGTTTACCTTTTGTGCGATGACAACGACAGTAAGTGATGAACAAAATCCGACATTGGAATCGGACTGGGAGGCTGAATGGGTAATATTGCCTTCTTCCATCTGGGAGATTTCTTCTTCTCGATTACCATCCTTCTTTGCCATTGTTCTTAATTCAAAGAGTTGAAAAGTTAGGAAGATACAAGGGTTTTTTTCTTCAGGATGTCTGCCAAAAGGCTTATTTGATGATAATAATAGTACTTAGATTTAAATATGATAGGTTTTGCTTTAGATTACCTAAATAAGGATAAGATTCATAGTTGGAGAGTTTTTTGGAGGGTGGAGTTTTACAAAATGCTGACTAATCTCGTATTTGATAGTTATCTAGTTAATGGTGCAAATTCAAAGGGATATTACGGATTGGAGTTAATTTTCACCTTATTAATATTGAAATATCGGATATAGTGCAAATTCAAAGGGATATTACGGATTGGAGTTTGCAGCTTATCACTAATATTGAAACTCCATCCTGCACTATCGAGCAAAACTCCTCCCCTCTACTCAGTACTATCTCTTCCCCAACTATAAATACATTCTCACCTGATTAAAAAGAAAAGAAAAGATATGTAGGATTTTTACGGTTTATTAGGAATATCGTGGAGAATGTTGAAGGTTTCAAACTTTGAATCAGTAATACTATTTCCCGTGAATATCTGAATTTTTGCATGGTTGTATTTACTTTTTCTTATTCGAATTTTCAGATAAAAAAGTAAATAACATAGGAATGGCCTTTGCTCAACTTCAAAGGAGTCAAGCTTAAAATCCGAGGCAAAAGGAACGGAATTTTTTTTTATCTGTACTCATTGCACCGAATCACTAAATGAATTTCATATTTATACACACTCTTTTATTATTTAACTAGTTTCAGTATACACGCATTTTTATTAATGTGGTACTTATACTATCCTGAGCCGAGGGTCTGTTGGAAATAACCTCTCTATCCTCACAAGGTAGGGGTAGGTCTGCGTACATACTACCCTCCCTACATCCCACAATATAGAATAATACTGGGTATCTTGTTGTAGTTGTAATGTACGCGCACTGCACATGTACCTATCAATGAGTATATAATTTAAAAATAATAAAATATTATTAAATAATATAATTGAGTTACAAAATAAAAATTTGAAAAATGTAAGTTCTTGAAATAAATAATATTAATGATATTTGGATAGATCAATAAAGAAAAAAATCTTGCCATACAAAATTCTCAGACATATAATGTAGACGCTAATAGGATAAAATTCTAAATAAATTATTAATATAAAATACAAACCAAAACAACACATACATTTAAAACAATTTTGATCAACCCATAACTTCTTCCTTCAAGTCTCAAAAGAATTCCATAATCAATTTGAATACGAAGAATATAGTCCATTATTGATTGATCAAAATTTTAGTAGAATTAATAAGAATAATTATAAAGAGATTTTCAAATATATCTTTTTATTAATTGTGGTTAATGAACTATTATTGTCATTCACAAAAGAGCTCTAACTTTGGTTATCTTTTAGCTTGTCACATATCTCTTACCATCTCCGTATTCAAATTTCTGGCCTTTGACCAAATTTGTCTTTCTATAGCATCTTTCTTCTCTTACTATTAAATATCCTTTCAAGCATTTCTTCATATCAAAGTTCCAAAAAATATGTTTAAAAAAATACAAATTCTCGTTTGTGTTTTGGTTATTAATTAATATTTAATATATTTTAGAATTATTAGCGCTAAGGATAGTAACATTTGAAAAGAGATTTATACATTACATATATTGACAAAGCAAAAAGCATAGATCTTGAGACCCTAAAATATTGTTGAATATAGAATGAGTATTGACTAGTATTATCAATTTTAGTAACAATTAGTTCTTACTTATTCTTTGTAAACTTTTTTATTTTAAGTATTCTTGTTCATCATTATATCCAAACTCATTTATTTCATTTGAATTGATAATATAGTACTTTTGATTGGATTTATCATTCGAAACATGAGATAATACCTTAATATTCTCATTCATTAATTCAAAAAAATATTGTCAAAACAGGGTGCAACTTAGTTTGTTTATATTTAATATTCTTGATTGTTATTAGATCTTAACAAATAAGGAATTAAAATTAATTTTTTAGTTTTTGTTCTTTGGGTATGAATTAGATTAAGGAGTTGTATATTTATTTTATGCAATTTAAATGAGAAAATAATTCATATACGTTAATATGTTATTCGATTTTGAATTTCTAAATATTAGGAGCTCCTTTTATAGAATTGTTTAAGTTAACTTTAAAGTTATAAATATTATAAAATAATTAAATGATAAAATTATGCTTCATGCATACTGTAGTGTACGTGTTATCTGTCATTAATGAGTAAACAATTTTTATTAAAAAATAACAAATTTATAAATCACCTTAAGACATCATGCACATGTGAAATATTAGATTTAACAATATTCACATGGTTAAAAGAAAGATATAAAAATGTGGATTTTGACATGTTTGATGATTCTTACGTGTTTAGTATACAAAATTAAAATGAAGACAAAATTCCTAACGTGATAAAAACTTATAAACATTTAAGGAAAATACTTACATAATTTAAATATACAAAAAAGTTATATAAGTGAAATCAAAATTTTAGATTTCTAAATATTAGGAGCGTTTACCTACTTCAAATAAGGAAGAATCTAATAAATAAGATTTACTTGATTTTTAAAGTCTTAAATATTAGAAAAATAAGTAAATTACTATTACAAATTTGTCCAATGTGAAATCTACTTTTAAAAGATAAAAAAGTCAAACGACATTTCGCTAATGACTTCATGCTTTTAACATAGTTATTATAGATTATAGATGATAGATAGATAGATAGATTATAATTAATTAATAAACATTGTCATCTTATTTTGCCACTTAACAATAACAATTTAATATAATTTAATGTAAACATTTGAGCAAGCTATAAATACCTTGAGAATATATTCATTATTTTGGTGTAAATGTTTTGAGGTATTAGTAAGAGTTGAAACTTGTATTGGATAAAATATGATATGACACGTGGCTGACCAAAAGAAGGACACATGGAATCCAAGATGAGATGACTAAGGACCGAACACAGCCACTCCGCTTGTCACCGGAAAGGATAACGTTCATAAAAGGTGTATTAAATGCTTTGCGCCCGGTAGCATTTACTAAGGAATATTCTGCAGCATTAAGAGTGACGGTCTGTTACAGAGAATTTGACATTTATGTTCACCGTTACATTTTCATCAATGACCCTTATAATTGACATTAAAGAAGGGCATGATGCTAAGACTTCTTTCCCGAGGTATAACTATAAATACTGAGCTCAGTTACCATTGTAAGTGACATACGAATTCTCTGGTTAAACTTACACTCTACTCTATACAAAGTTTTATACAATTTTATTTTCTTGCCTTTTGATCTCATCATTTCTATGTTCGGAAACCGTGTTCACAGAATCACAATCTTTGCTATTTCATCTACATTCTAAGGCTAAGTATTGTGTATTTCTTCGATTCTTATATTATTTTAATATCAAATTAGTTCACTTGTCTAGAAACTACATATAAATTTAATTATACCATTTTACGAGTAAACAGTTTGGCGCCCACCGTGGGGCCTAGACATCCGTGCAATTAAATTGATCCTTGCCTTTTTTACTAACGTGTTTTGATTATTTTGTCTCAGAAAAAATCACAAAAAATGACAGATAACACTGTTAACAATGCACACAACCCTGAAAATCGAGGGGATCAGCCTCATTTCGAGGCCATACCGGTGCATGCCAGGAAATGCTCCCGACGGGTACAGGAGACAACTTCTGATGATGCTGACGAGGAGCAAGTAGCGGATGCTGTGAGGATCTTGCAAGAGCAACATGCAATCATTCTAGGCCATCTCACGCAGCAGGATCAGGTTATGACGAAACTGAAGCAGGCGCTATCGGATGCTTCGAATAATGCAAATATGCGCGATCCAATTCCTCCCATTGTTCCCGCAGACCAAACAACGCAGAGAGTTAACAACAACACTCCCAGGGGTGAAGTTGGCTCCGATGGGGCTGGGGGGAGCAGATCAGGACTTAACAATGAGAACGATTTATCCAAAGATGAGCTTTTACTGTTCATGAGGGAAGTAAACGCATGCATGGATCAAATATCGGGCACATCGCCAGTATTGAAAGGCCCGAACTCGAAGAAGTATATACAATTACCGTACAAGCCAAGTGCGGCACCAGAACTAATCCCGAAGCATTTCAAAATGCCTGAAGTTCCAAAGTATGATGGAACCTTAGATTCACAGGAACATATTACCACCTACACAACGACAATAAAAGGAAATAATCTAGCTCCTCACGAAGTTGAATCTGTGTTGCTAAAGAAATTCGGCGGAACTCTCACGAGGGGAGCCCTAACGTGATATTCATTACTGCCTGAGCATTCCATAGATTCCTTTGAGATGCTCGTGGATTATTTCATTAAAGCTCATGCCGGGGCCAGAAAGGTGCAAGCCCAGAAGGCTGACATATTCAGAATTGCACAAGAAGAATCAGAATTATACGAGAGTTTGTTACCCGATTCCAGAAAAAAAGAATGTTGCTCCCTGATTGCGTCCAATTGCATATCTCAAAAGAAGTATGAAACGATCGTTTGCAATTATAGAAACCCAACTAAGAGTCGGGGTTGAATTCACAGGGAGCTAAGATGGGGGTTAGGGGTATATATTTCAATGTACGTGATTGAATTATCGAGATTTCACTTCCATAAAAAGATTGATTTTCTATTTTTAATTTTTACTCTATTGATTGCCAAATAAAGAAAGAAAACTAGAGATAACTATTTTTTGGGGGTTTTCCAAATTGATTAAAAGCCTAGGGCTGTGACCATTATTTAGGTGTTTGCCTAATGGGATAAAGACCTTAATATTTATTTTGTTGATTGAGGTGTATTATAGTTATCAACTCTAAAATACCCACTCAATACCTCTCAGTCAAAGAGTGGTTTTGCCCAATTTGGCTTTCTCAAGACCAAATGGGTATCACACAAAACAGTTGATAAAAGCTCAAGTCGAATTTTTACTATCTCTAGGTTGGACCCTTTAATTGGGTGAATAAATCTCTCAATTGACCCAATTTTTTGTTAGCCAAGTTGTCCTAAACTAGGTCTCTCTTTCTCAAGAAGAGACTAAGTCAAATAGGCATGAACTAGTGTTTGCAACCATTAATTCCTCAAATTAAAGCATGAACTAAGCTAAATAATAAATACCCAATCATAAACAAGTACTAAATTAAGTACCCATAAGGTTTACACTCTAGGGTTGGGTCACAACCCTAGTAAAAATCTAGCTACTCATACTTGAGTTTGAAGAAAATGAAGAAGAAAGACTAATTAAACTCATAATGTAAGCTAAAAATGATAAAATCTATTGTAAAATACACCAAATTAAAGTAAACTTCCAAAAGTGGCAAAGAAAATCGGCTACAGTAATTGCAGAGGTTCAAACTTGACCTA